CCAGACCAAGAAAGGGTGGGGGGCCAAACGTCACGTATGAGGCTGCAGGCAGGCCCAGGGTGCAGCTCAGGATGATTGGTTTTTCTTGGATGACCCCAGCTAAAGACCTAACTAGGGTCAGGTTGCTTGGCAGGTCCCAGGAGGGTGGCAGGTGGACAGGCTGCTCAGTGGGCAGATCCACAAGGATGACCTTGGCCAGGAGAGCCGTTGCGGGGCAGGTTCTTATGCTGGAGGACCCACTCCCGTTGGCCACACAGGACTGTGGAAGGAGGAGCTGGCTACAGTGGGGCCCAAGCAGCTGGGCTGAGAACGCTACCTCGTGTCTCTGAGCATGCTCCCTCTGGCCAGGTTCCATCTCTTCTCCATGAGTCCAACTCCTCTGGGATGTCCCCAGACCAGGAAAGGGCTACTGGACTCACCTGCTGTCCCCTGGAAATAGCCATGTTCACTCTAGCCCTACCTAGAAATCTGCCCACCCGCTCCCATTCTCCATCTTCCTCTCTGTGACCAGCCACGCCTCTCAGCAGACAGGGCCTCCCCACCCCCATGTGTGACACCCAGTGGGCAGGGGGACAGCACATCCACTGGACCACTTGTGCAATTGTAGCAGATTGGTAATTCTACCTGAACTGGGTCAGCTCCCTTTAAGAAGCTTGCTAGCTATGGCTAGCTTAAACATAAACTAGCTGACTTTTCTTTGTTCTGATTCACTCAGCTTACTTTTTAGTTTTCCTGTTTTTCTGGGGGTGCTTTCCTTTGCCAAGAATAGGGTCTTCAGTCCCCATTCTCCCAGCACAGGTGGGCTGCCTTTCAAAGTCCCTTAGCTGTAGTATAAGGGGGGCACACGCAGTCGAGACCCATTCCCCTCTGGCAGCTTTCCTGAGCTCTGGGGGACCAGCTTACAATGGGTCTGAAGCTTTTGTTCTCCTTTGCTTCCCGTCTGTAAGCAACAAACCCACTTCAAGTAACTTGTTTTGCATTGAGTGTCTCTGTCTCATCAGACTCTGACAAGGTAACCAGTGCATGATGAGCCTGCTTTAAACACAATTAGAAAAAACGATCCAAAATTTGGAAATAAGAACACAAGATAGAGTTATGCCCTTTTGGTGTTTTCCTGGAACCCTGTCTAATAGGCCAAAAAAGATATTTACATTTTCCTGGATAATGCACCTTTGTTCGATACAAAATTTGCTACAGATATGGTCCATATCTGAAATTCATTATTAACTTGTAGATTTTTGCTCAGTTGAGATGCAAATGATTTCTTTCCCAAAGATGTGTCCAAAGGTAGGGTTTTATTGTTTGGCAGGACAGTGGTTAGTTCTAATCTCTCAGTGGTCAGTCTATAATCTTACTCATTTTTTTAGGATGCTTGTCACAGAAGATTCTTTATTCCCTGTTCCTCTAATTCTCCTTTGAGCCAGCTTTACCATCTTGTGGGTTACAATTCAACTAATTTAATTAACCTTGGACATAATTTATTCACATGTGAAGAACTCTGTAGGGCTGCCTTGGGACACTTAGCCCAGGCCTGGTGCCTAAAAAGCTCATGAGATTGTCAGGGAAGAGGCCAGGAGCCTCTCTTCCCACCTCCCACACCCTCTACCCCTGGGCTGGGCTGAGGGGGCTGACCCTCTCCTGCTTGGGTATGAGGCTGCAGGCAGGCCCAGGGTGCAGCTCAGGATGATTGGTTTTTCTTGGATGGGGCACTCTGGGGACCTGAACTGGCTTCTCAGC